AATGTTCAATAGGCAAGAATGAAGCAATTTTAAGATCCTATACATACTTCATCAGTAGATTTTGTCTCACTGCACCAATGTTACCTTTCTTGGGACAGCCCCACCAAACTTCTTCCATCCACACTGAGGAGCTGGTCTCCTGCTGTAAGACGGCCATCCTGAAAATTATAGAAAATGGATGACTCTCACATGAAGCCCAAAGATTTAATGAAGTATATATGTTAACTAAAAAATAAGAATCCACACGTGTTAAAAAGGGTAAATACACTTTTTCCCTAATATGTTATGTAATTACAGTCATAACATAGTATTTGCTGTATGACAATGTGGTTTTATTGTACTGTGATCACAAATAGTTTTATTTATTAGGGGAAATGCAAGAAAATGTATAAGTCTCAGATATATCAACCAGAGTTATATTCTGAATATATTTGTTATCAATTATGGAAAGTGTATTTAAAGTCTAAATTTATTTTCAGTATGTTTGGCATCATTCCTCACTGTATGCAGTTTCATCAGGCAAATTATTATTATTTTTTTAATCTGCTACAAAGTTTTTTACCTGGAGATCCTGCCAGTAACAGTGCTGACAAAGCCAAGCCATAGGCTTGCAATCAGCAGCAAGCTGTCAGTCTGCCATGTTCCTTCAGTTGTCCTGTGGGCTACCTAGCTAAAAGACCTAATAGGTAGCCCAATGGACAACAAAAAGCACACGGCAGGCAGACATGCTGCTTCTAATATCATGGCACTGTGCAGCAATTTGAAGGCATTAAGGAGTTCAGGTTTTATAAATATAGATAAATACATACCACTTCTGCTGCACCTCCTTTGACAACTGACTTTATGTAGATGCCAAGTTTTTCTTGTCCGGCACCCTATACAAAAACAAATGCTGTTTTATACCCAATACACCTTTTTATGTTAACCTTCTCCCACACTGAAAATACTTGGATACAAATTAATACATAAATTATATTCACAACTGACACATTAGCTAAAAAAAAACATTCAAAACACAGTTATACTGAAATTATATTATTTACAATGAAGTGCATGCATGTTGCTATATACCAGGGGTAGCAAACCTCCGGCACTCCAGCTGTGGTGAAACTACAAATCCCATGATGCATCTCTCTTCGGGAGTCATGTCTGTGGCTGTGAGAATCTTGCAATGCCTCATGGGATTTGTAGTTCCACCATGGCTGGAGGGCCGAATGTTTGCTACCCCTGCTATATACAAATACACAAAATACATAAATGCATAATCTTGCTCTATATGCACGATATAGATGTATCTATACATGATATAGATGTGTAATACAAAGAAGAAAGCAAGATCTGTAAGTTATTTCCTTCACCACTTTTTGGTCCTCCTTCTCTACATAAACATGCTGCAGGACATAGGGCAGGTTCACACCAGTTCCGGTGCATTCCAGCATGACTCACTGCCGGAACGCACTGGAGCTCATCCCGTCCAGCGGGCATGCCAGTGTGTTGAAGTCAATGGCTGCATGCACCAGAATGCAGGCACTGATGTGCCACACGTTCTTGTGTGGCCGATCTTTGGCAAATTTCTATGTAAGAAATTTAAAAAATGTATATTTTATTTGAAAGACTTTCCACATGCTTTATATCTTGTAATAGACAAGACGATATGCAGATTTAAATTTGTTCGAGATATATATATACACACACATACATTATATATATATA